GGACAAAATATTAATTATTATTCTACCTCTAAATAAGTATTTAATTTTTGTTTGAAAATTTTTCAAGGCAATGAATGTGCATCATTGAATGTATTGAATTGTCTTTTTTACTAAATGTAATTTGAAATTTGCTAGATGAATATTATTATCGTTAAGATTGTATATTTATGTTCAATTCTGATTATCATTTATACTGTTTGTGTTCAAGTTAGAATTTCTTTTTCATTTTTCTTTTTTCTTGAATATATTAAATTAACAAAAATTAATTGACAAACAGCTATTCTTTGGTATGGATAATCTAGTCAGTAAAAAATTTTATTTCTTCTCTTTTCTTCCTTTTCTTTTTTTTTCTTTTTTCCCCTTTTTCATTTCTCTTTTTCATATCTTTTCCTGTATGATATCTTTGAAGCAAGGAAATTTTATTGCTTTCTTTTAAAGACTTAAAGGAAACTTTGAAAAAATTCAATGAAAATTTTGGAAAATACTCCATGTAAAAAAATATCTCTCTCTTTTTTCCCAATGATTTTAAAATTTTAATTATTAAGGAATTTCAAACATATTTTGTTTTAGCAATTAAAATTATTGAATAATACGAACTATTAATGGAAAGTATTTTTCTATTTCCATTTTTGCTTGTTAATTTATTTATCGAAAAGTTAAATTTGATATAAACTTGATCAATCTTCGAAAAATTGAAAAATTTTCAGGTTTTTTTTGTTCAATTTTTCGAAAATTTTTAATACAACAATTGTAGCAGTATGAAATATAATGGGCAATTCTTCTATAATAATGGTCAAAAATAAACGAAAGTCCTTTCTATTTAATTTCTTCATTTCGAAAAGAAATACTCGAAAATTTTTAAATTGATTCCAACTTTTTACAGTAAAAAGAAAAAAATTGGAATTAAAATTATGATCGTATCGTATCGATTGCTTCCTAATTTATATCCTACGGATATTTTTCCTCTTTTTTTCGTGAAATATTCCGCTTTTTTTTGCATTTTTCTTCATCCTCTTCTTTTATCTTTGTCTCTTCATTTTCTCTCTTTTTCTCCCTCTCTCTCCCTCTTCAATTGAATGTGCCATATATTTTGGCTAAATTTGATATTTATTTTTCGTTGCTTCTTGATATTTTACCATTTTTCATTTACTTTTTTACAAATATGAGAGGAAAGTGTATAAGAAAGTATTATTCTTTCATAATTTTCTTTTGCCATACCATTTATTACTTCTTTTGATGTGCTATTTCTCCTTTTTTTTTTCTTTTTAAAAATTTTTTCATTTGCTTATAATGCATTTTTTTTTTATTTTTCGTTTTGGTTTTCGTTTTCGTATGATCTCATTTTTTAAGTGTTAAAAAATGCTCTCATTTTTTAAATGTTAAAAAAAATTAGCAATGGAGGAGAGTGCTTATTTTCTAAAATATAAAAAACAAAAGCAAAACAAACAAATGGAATTAATACAAATGCCAGTACAATGAAATCATATACTAAATGAAATTAATTAATTAATATGCTTGCATAAGACATACAAAATTAGTTAAATATGAAAAATTATGGTTGCAGTAAGACGATAATGCTAAATAATTATAAAAGTGTCAAATTATTGCGTGGTTTTATTTGAATAATAATTTATTTACGAGTTATATCAGACATAAGACGTAGCAAACTGTAAATTATTTCAAATTTGGATGTAAAAAGTTGCTTATATTTTATTCATATTTTATTTTAAAACTTTGAAATGTTTTCAAGTTTTTTAAAAAGAAAATTCTAACCAAAAAAAAAAATTCTTCCGGCCTTTAATTGGAAGATGCACAGCGGAGAACAACAGTGTGGACAACCGATGTTACGAATTAAATAAGCTTACTTAAAATTTTACCGTGTAATAGTGAAAGCAGTTGTGGAAGTTTTTAATGTGCAAAATTTGTATTTGAATGAAGAAATACGGTATTGAAAAAGTATCAAAATTATTATGAATGTGTATGAGTAATACGACATGAAATGCTTTGGTACTGAACAATTATCAGAATTATTCTGATTGTGTGGGGAAAAAAAAAACGGGCGAAATATCGATGATATATACGATACGATAAATATTACAATAATGAATTCTGATCAAAGTATTCGTCTGAAGTATGATACAAAGGAAAAAAAAAGGAATAACAGGTTTTTCGAATTAAAATCGTATAATATTGTCAAAAAATCATTTTTAAAAACTGAATGAATTAAATTAAAATTCATTCATCCAAAATGAAACGACAGCATATTAATACTATTTAAATGTTGCTTGTTGTTAAATGAATTGAAAATTACTTCAAACAATTTCAGTTATTTATTCCTGAAAGTTTTTACGGCAATAAAATGAAGAGTGTTCTTTGCAATTTTAAATTTATCATTATTATTATTTATTTTTGCTATAATTATTATTTGATACAATGATTGAAATAAGCAGACAGTTATAATGTATAACAGTTAGTTCGCTAAACTAACTGTTTAGTACAATTTGACAACTATATTTTTTCAAAAAGTATACTGAATTTTTTAAAAAAACTATGGTTAAGGGAAAATATTAAAGAAATTGCTAAGTATCATTATTAAGCGAAAAAATAAGTGACAAGTTAGTTATTAATTACCAAATGCTTCTTATTTTTTTTTTACTTCAGAAAGGTTAATGTCGAATGATACAAACAAAGGAATTGGAACAAAGAAAAAGAAACAAATTTAACATAATGAAAAATGATATTTTTTTTAGTTGAAAATCTTTGATCTATTTGAATAGTAAAATAAACGTTTTTTCATGAATAGGGAGGTAAAGTGAATGAGCAGAAAAAGTTTTTATTGAAAATTTAAACCTTAACATTCGAAATTCAAAGTGCCAAAATATGATCGTTGTAATAACATGATTAATTTGACTGTAACGTAACGTGCGAATACTCAAGTTATCTTACAATAATTTTGATCAGCCAGTTTAAATATATGATATTATTACTTATTTGAGTTTGAACAAGCTTTTCTGGAAGTTTTAGTATATCAAGAAATTTACAATTCTGAGCTATAATCAATATGACTATAAAGGGTCCCCATTTGATAATGCTTTGATGAACAGTGGTTTTACTATCTTCATTTGAAAGTTTGTTGTGGAATGGTTCTGCGAAAAACTTTCAGCAGTATTAAAGTATTGAAATGCTGCATAAAGTTTGCCAACCAAAATTAGATACATTAATAAATTAAATAAACCATAAAAAAGCTGATCACCCGCAATCTATAATCAGAAAGATAAATTAAGGAAATGAAAATTGTTTGGAAAACAAGGATTATATTTATAAAGTCAGCCATATTTCAACGTCTGTAGAAACTGAATTGTCAAAAAGATGCTTTTTTAAAAAGAATCAGATTATATAAATTTTTTTTTAATTTCAAGTATGAATTAATTTCAAGGCATGACTAATGGATGTCGAAACAGTTTTTAAATAAAACATTTTAATCAAGTTACCTTTATAAAATAAGAAACATAAAATAAAAAAAACCGGATGAATATCTCTTTACATCACACCAGCCGTTATATTGCAACTGTTTTAGTTTACTGATTTCTTCAGAAGCATATTTACAGCGGACTGCAAGTCATCAGCTATCAGATCAGGCTTAACGCTATGGTTTATCCAAGATTGTCTGAAAAATGAAACAAAGCATTTTGAAAAAGAATATAGCATGAAATGTTCCTCTGCTAAGTCATATTATACTCAATCAAAAAAACCTTCCAAACTTATTTTTGTTCTTTTCTATTTCATCAAATCAAAATTATCTACAGGCAAACAAATATTGCAGGTACAACTTTAAATTCATTGTTGGAACTTACATAATGGATAAAAAATTCTTTTGAAAAAACATTTTATTTACCTCCACTTTCCTGTACGTACTTGTACACCTCTGATTCCAGCTTTCTGCGCCCCACCGACATCCGACACAATATCATCACCAATCATTACAACCTAAAGCGTTTTCTTTGTCAGCAGTTTTAATTTTACTCAATCAATTCATCAAAAGGACTAATACTCGAAAAGAACAACTGTATCTAAAAAATGCCCTCTATTTTTCGCTTTTTCATATATTTAAAATAATTGGTGAAGAAAGAAAGAGATAAACAGAGAGAGAAGAAATCATAAACGATACCAGTGATTAATAAAAAAAATATATAGCAGCAATAAGACATAATAAAGAATCCCTTGTGAGATTGAATTTCATAATGATAAATTACAGTTCAAATGAAAAAAAAAACTTAAAAATGATCACCTCATCAGTCATTAAACCCATATCATCAACAGCAGTCATGAAAAATTGCTTATCTGGTTTACCTACAGTAATGACTCGTGCGTCACATGCATACTGCAATGCACATGCAAAACCACCGACATCCATACACGGCCCATCTATTCGTTGATAAAATTTTCTGGAAATAAAACTCTGATAACCAAATAAATGAAAGGACAGTCGTTCATTTCTTAACTACTTCTCAATTATTTTCAATCAAAATGTAAAATTCTTAACATATTCAATACTACTGGGAGTTCTCTGTCAAGTTTGCCATTACTTGTCAACAATTAGTTTCTTTCAGTGAATTGATGAATTTGCTTTATTCAACAAATAATAAGACTTTTCTTGAAGAAAAATTTATAAAGGAACCCAAAAAAAATTAACGAGATATCTATTAATAATAAGTTAAAATGCTATCGACCGACACAGTGAAACTAACCCACAACCTAAAGTAACAATCAAAGGATCACTCGTTTCATGTAGGACACGAAAAGCAGCATTCATTGTTTCATAGGTAAACCCTGCTTCAGCATCACCCATTAAGACGCAATTCGGATTATTTGTATCAAGATCTTCAAATTCCTTTAGAATACCTAAAATAAAATGCAAAATTTATTAAATACTTTTTTAAATGATAAAAAAAGTGCTGGAAACTGAATTTGAAAAGCAAAAGTTGTGACTCAAATTTAATAATGTAAAGTTTCAAATAAAAATTTTATAACATATCTTTATGCACCAGTATATGAGGTCTAAGGTTATGATCCTTGATGTATCGTTTCGCTTCCGGGACGGGCATGAAAATGTGCTCTTCCTTCAAAGTAAATCCAAGCTTTGTCAACTTTTCGAATAAATGTTTACGACTACGCGAACTTTCATTTGTTACAAAGCGAACTGCACTTTCAGCATAGAGTCTGAAATCTTGAAATTTCAAGTTTTGAATGCAAAAGGTAAAGATAAGCAGTCTTTGTGATATGTAAATCCTTTCAAATATTAGAAATTTGCTTCATAAATAGAAAATAAATGAGACAGACAAATGCTAAGTTAAGCTGAGATAACCATTTCTAAATTAAGTTTTCATTGACATTAAACATTTAGCTATACCCCGCGATTTGGAAAGTATCAAAATATTTTAGTAGCTTTAAAAAATAAAGTGGCAGCTCATGGTTGCAAAATTTCTTAAAATCTTGTTAACTGTACTAGATAAAAGCATAAATAACTTTTAAGTTAGAAACTAATAAATTTCAATTTTTTTCTAAAAAATTAACAGGAAAAAACCTATTAACTGCTTCCACTGATCCCTCTATAACACGTCCAATCGTGTTTGGATCGCTGTTATACAAAACACCGGTAATATCCAAAAGGAAACCCTTCACCGGTTTGTTACTGGTATTCATTATCTGGAAAAACAATAACAAAATCAGTGAAATATATTGTGGCCTACATGTGCATTGTTCTTAAAATGAAAACTATCAATAAATACAAATACTTGAGCAAAAAAAGATTAAGTTTAAAAATTATTTAAATTTAGGTAATTGACAACACAGCTTAAAAGCAGTAATGAATAGAATTAATAATTTAAGCAATATTTTCAACAATTACATATAGTTCGGAAGATAATACAAAAAACGGTTGACCCATCGCTAACTAACTAGCAGTTAACTGATTAATTAATTGCATGATAAAAAAATACATTCATAGCTTTACGTATTTGGAAAACCCAACAAATGATTATAAAACTAAAAAATATATTAGTCGAAAAAATTCTCCTAACTGATGAATAAACCACCTAAATAACTGTTCAAAATAAAAAAGACAAAAAAAAATCGCCCAATCCGGTAGTCCGCATTGGGAACTTTCCTTCATTCTTCGCCGGAAAGCAGTCCGGTTGATATCATTCCTCAACGATTTCTTTTTTTCTCAATTTGAACACCATTTTGAAAATGCTAGGTTTGCATTCAAATTGCTAAGGGAAGAATTACGTGATTTGTTTTATCTTCTTTGATATCACTTGTTATCATTAATGATTCGACATCTGTGATTGCTTTTTCAATCTCTGCATCATTATATTTCATCTAATTCTTTCACTGCTTAACATTCTTTCAATAACAATAGCTATTACAATCATGAGTAGGAGTAAATATCGTTCTTTTTTTGTTTTCTTCTCTTATTAATCTTTTTGGAAGTGCATTATTTCAAAAAATCACTCTTCGTCTCCGCACAATTTTTTCCTATTTTTTTTTCAATTCTTTTTTTCAAAATTTTCAATTCTCACTTTCTGTGCACTGTAACTTTTTAATGTTTGTTAGAAATGAGTTCATTGTAAAAAAAAATGGTAGTAAAAAAAAAGGAAAAATGTCGCATGATTCCGTTTTGCATAACATGTCGTATTACGTCATATATTGCGTGATAGTTTTTACGTAACATCCATGATATAAATTTCGAACTGTTTAAAATTTTCAATATATTGAAATATCGAAATTTTATAATTGCGACATTTTAGCATTAACACATTTACGGATGTAATTACGTAAGCTTGAACTGATATACAGTTAACGGTAGAATACAATAACAGAATTTTTAATGATTGAATAGGCGATGGATATTATGTAACGATGAAGATATATTTTTTTGTTTTACGAAATTTTAAATTCAGTAATAGCTTTTCATGCATCATAATTTTCGAATTTTAACTACAAAGATTTTTTCCCGTTTATTTTTATGAAGTTCTTGTTCTGATGCTGAATGTTTTTAGCAGTAAAATGTCAAAGTAATCAGCCTTTTGTCGAAATTATCATTTCAAACCGTAAAGATGTTATCAAATCACATGTTGTTATTTAAGTCATAAATGAAAATAAATCTACATATGATTGTAAAGCGAACTTTTTTGAAGGTTAATTTTAACATTTCTTAATTAGTAGTTAGTTACAAGATTCTTAAAAAGCTTTTTTTTTCTAAATTTTTTTCCAAAACTTAGTAAGAGATTGATTGATTGGTAATTGGTAGTGTTTTCCAATGATCATAAGTGTATGCAAATATGTTGGACTATGGCTTTTGTGCCAGACCAGGCTAAGAAATTTTTTTTCTCATCGGGAACAGTGTTGGATGAAAAATCTACTAGAAGTAGAACATATTAATTGTGCTGCTTCACGGTATTTAGTTATTTTCATTACATTCAACATTTTTTCCTTTTTGTTAATATTCGATGAGTCTTAAAAATTTCCCACGAATGTTTCCTAGAAATTTTCCTTAACGAATTTTGAATATGATAGTCAATTATATGTTTCATTACTAATTAACAGTATTTTTCTTCAGGATTTTTTTGCTCAATGTATGAAAAGCAAAATCAGAAAAGGTAGAAATGGGCGTTGCTTGGGTTTTTGAAACAGATAAAAGTGCTGTAAGCATTGAACGTGCAATTGAAGGAGAAGGTGGAGTGAAAGGTGGCATTTTCACGGTTGATTCCACTCCATTCAAGCCGAGTGACAATGTGCAAGGAGCTATCAATCATGTATTCATTCTTCATCATTCACGTTTTCCGCAAAGTACTTTCACAATAGCACCAAATGAGAAACAAAAACACTGTCCGCGTGCAATATCCGATCGTGGATTTGATTGTATTTTGGCAAAGCTGAGTTCCGGATTGGTGCAAGATACTGCTGGAAAATTTGAGGTCTCTGGTCATGAATATATATTGCAAGATTTTATTATTCGAACAGGGAATGCTTCAATGGGTGTAATCAGCAAAGGCGTTATTGTTGAAGTTGAATATGCACCATCATGTGTAGCATCGCAATGTGGTAGCTTTTTGCAAGAATTTATAGCAGTATTTTTTCCGGATCATGTTGCTGATAAGCCGGCCGTTTTGCAAAAAGCTCAACCAGAACCATACAGTGCTCTTGATACCATGCATCAATATTTGGATATTTTCCAAAATATGCGAAAAAAAACATAACTCCGTTTGTTTCATGTATTCTAAGCGTTGAATGCGTTATTGTTACCGTTCAGTTCAAAACTTTTCAATAAGTTAAGTATTATAAAAGTTTTAAAGAACTTGTAAAACTTTAGCCATGGAATAGCTATTATTTCAGTTACGAAATTAAATAATATCCCTTTCTATCAGATTAACTGAATGCTTCCGCAAATTTTAAAACTTTGCTTATCTTAAAAATTTTGGTGAAAGGCTGATTTTGTCATTTTAGAAGGGGATAAACTTCTAAGTAGTATCAGTTTTTACTTTACCATTTGCAGTGGTCCTTGTAATAGTCTCGATTTTTCGAAATTATTTCACATTTGCTGATCGAATTTATGTGAATAAATGATAATCTCGGTTCGTAAAATTCACTTTTACTTAAATCCTTGTATTTGTTCACATTTTTGTGGTTGAAATGAATTGGAACACACTGCGAGTGTTATAGATTTCCGATTAAGTTGAACCTTCCTTTCCAAATCCTCCAAACTTGTTCCTTTCGTTTCGGACAAAAAAATGAAAAAGAACACAAATGCAACCATTGTAAGAGCCGCATATATGAAGAAAGCTGCTGAAAATTGTAAAATATATTCTATAAATTTTGACATTTATGGTATTTTTAAAAAAATTAGGAAGATTTAGCCTACAATCGAAGCCTAATGAAATCAATCACGATAGATCAATAATTCATATAGTGTGCACTTTTGTGAAAGTTCATATATGTATTAGTCATATTTGACATAAAGTTCGTAAAATGATTTCATTGTATTTTTTCGTTGCTTGGTGCAAATTTCGTACGATTTAACAGAAGATTTCGAAATAAATCGTGAAACGTTTTCCTGAAATTCTTACAATCTCTTCCAACAGTTCGAATCAGTAAGATGAAAGACGTAGAAGCGATGATATCAAAGAACCAATTGCACGATGCAGCAGCGCTAACGCAAATACTTCGTGCCCACATGGGGTAAATTTCCGCATTAATAATCCATGCAGATGGCGCATAACCTGAAAGAATTATTTTAATTAGCTAATTACTACGTGATTTCTAATATGTTCGAAATTTTGAAAAGGTCATTAATCACCTACTTCCCTCTAATTTTTTATCTTTCGTTTTAAAGTGATGCAAAATTGATCGAGAATTATTCGTGCTGATATTAATTATTTTGCTTTAATATTCAATCAAACGGTGTAATCAAATTAATAAATGACTAATTAAAAAAGATATGATGGAATGAGATAATAAGAAATGAGATGATTTTGCTGCTTCTTTCTTTTCACAAAAATGTTCAAATTATTTTAAAAATTTTGATCAATTTTTAAGCTAATAAAAAGTGCAAATAATTTAATAAAATCCGCTTTTTCATATATTTCATAGAAAAGGAAAGTTTACAGAAATTTGAAAGAAAAGATATTTAGCAACGTTTAAATGATGGCGAATAATGAATAGTATACCGCAAGCAAAGAATACGATGAAAGTTACGAGTGGAATGAGAAGTAAAACAGCATAGCCCGTGGAGCAATAATCATCCATCCAATCATAACCTATTGAACTATTTATGGAAGAGCATGGACCTATCAAAGATTTCAATTCAGTTATGCGTGCTTTTTGATCGACCGGTAAACAATAACTGAAATTCATCAATTTTTCATTGTAAAAATTTTCGCCTTTTTTTTTTGGAAGAATATTTTGTTACTTATAAGTTCGTAAGAATGTTTTGATTAACTCGATTTAACCTAAAAATTTTCCAGTGTAATGTAATTTCTCTCTTGAATGATTTATGTAGAATTATTGTTAAAACATTTATCACTATCATTATCATTATTATAATTTCTATCTTGCTCAATTTATATAGAATTATCGCTCTCACTATTACTATCACTATAATTATCTCCATGTTTTACATATATGTGTTGTACAACAAAAATATATGTGTATGTATAATATAGCAAATTGTAGGATATGTGTAAATATCTTATAATTTCTAACACTATGAGAATTCATTTTTTTTCAGATTTATAAAAATATATTTCTATATTTTTTGTAAATTGCAGAAATTTATTTCGCTAATCATTTTTATTTCCTTCATTTTATGCTGCTCAAATAATAACCATTAAGCTCACTAAAAATCACTTACCCATAAGTTGAAGAATTTTTGGACATGCAAAAACCACAATGTTCATCTTTGGTGCACGAATCGCAGTTTCTAAAATAATACGATATCATAGCTATTTCGAAAATACTTTCCTTGAAATTTTGCAATACTATCAAATAAAAAATAATTCAATTTAGTTTAATGAGTTTTTTTACTGTTTAGACATGAAAATAGGCATTAATGAAATTTATCATTAATATTAATCGTTTCACAATTTACCGTCAAGAAGAAAAACAAAAAAAAAAAAATACATAAAATTAATAAAGGAGGGCAAAAAATATTAACTTAAATTGGGCGCAATGTTTGAAGTATGGAATGAAATCTGGAATTTCTTCTTGAAGGGTTTCATTCAGCGATAGAGCAATTACGGAATCACGACTAACGTATCCGAATGAAACTCCCATAAGGACGAGCGCAAAAGTTACACCTGCGACTGAGCTAAGCAGTACTTTCCGTCGACCGAAGCGTTCAATGATTAGCATTGGAATTATGGTGCTCAAGAAATTTATTACTGAAAAAAAGAAACTTGAATTCGATAGTGAAATTCAAAGAATAATTTCAAATATTAGTTATTGATCAAACCTTCACCGTATAGTAAGATAACAATGGAAAAGGCTTTTTTAATTATATTATTTGTTGAGCTACATTAAGCAAGTTTAGAAAAATAAGCAAAGTTTATTTAGTTTGAACTCAACAAAAAAAAATTCAAATCGAAATATTCCAAACATCTGCTAAAAAATTTAGCCATGAAACGCGAACAATATATTGAACTAAACTTTAAACATTCTATGATATTTAAAATATTTTGATTTAAATTTATAAAGAAGAATAATTTTAGAAATTATCTAAAATTCATAATTTTTTTTGCTGTATTTTTGTAAAATTTTTTGTTATAAAAAAATTAATTACTTAAAATAAGGCATGAAAGCCATACGACTGATCCAACCTCTTTTACTCCAGCTGATCTGATGATTGCTGACGAATGATGACTGATAATGAAAGTTAAAGATTAATTTGAATTATTCGAATTATTACTTTTTTTTAATTATTAGCAAAATATAATGTAGAAAAAGCAATAAATTTCCATTCGTAATTTAATAAAAATTTGGAAAAAGATTAAAGATTGATAAATTAATGGAAAGTCGGATAAACTCATATTAAACGTGTAGTAAAGCTCACTTATCTTATTTTAATTAAACTGAAATTTTAAAACGATATATTTCAATCAATTTTGCTTAATAAGAAACTTGCATGATAGCATTTATAGCTGATAATTGTTGAAATATTTGCAGCAAGCAACCAAATAATATTTGCTGCAATGCATGCATGTCACGCGTAAGATGCATTACACGCCATCCGCCTATAAATTATATCATTGTTGTGCATATTTCACTTCATTGTAGCCAGATTAATATATGAAGAAATAATGAAGAAAAAAGGAAAATATTCCAAAATTTATAAGATATTTTCTTACATGAAATGACCGGAAATCAAATT